TTGGTTTATTAGTTGTTGAGATATTTTATTTCAAAGTTTTAAAAAAATTTACTTTGCTTGGTTTCTACTGGCACCCCCATATTTTCAGCAAAAAATTTACTGTCATAGGCTAAAATGACTATCGATAAACTGGTTATAATTTAGCTAAATGGCTTAGACAATTTGTAATATATCTCGGTGATAACGATAAGCAGAATAGAAATTAAGCCACTCATTAGTCCTTTAAGTTATATAAAGGACGTAACTTAGATAAGGTTGGTTATGACACTTATGTGCGAGGAAGGGGCACATAAGCTCACTAATCCGATAATAATTCCCTTATATGAACCAAATCACCAACGTCACGCCTAGCCTTATCACATAAATCCTATATTTTATAGTATAGAATATCGAACATACGAATCACCCCGTAACATACCTTACTCAAAATAGATGAATCAATACTTTGAGAATTTTTAAGATGTTTGAGTACAACCTTTGTAATACAATTCCTGTGGACCCATACTGGAGAATTTTCGATCGTATATAAAAGATCGATTCTATCTCCGTCCCACGTAGCAGAACATACTGTATTAAAACCTCCACGTGCTATTTCTTTAATTTCAGAGAACTGATCAAAAGGAATCCATAATAAACAGTGATGTAGTGTGGTAGCAAGCATTTGAGACTCGCGAATAAATGTATCTATTTCCCGATTTCCACTAGTCCAATTATTAGGAAAAAGACATGTTGGACACCATTTCTTTCCTTCTTTAGGTTTTCTGCATTCGCTACATGTGTCCGATGCTTGTTTCATTAGATCTTCAACACCTTCTTCTCCTGATTATAATTATTATCGGTTAATTTAATTATCCATATATAAAAAATAGAATTTGCTGCCCTCATAAAGTGCCACCAGAATTTTACTTTCAGGAAATTCTATTTGGAGTGCTTTTATTTGCGCCAAATCGCAATCAACAAGAAAAACTGATAATTAAAATCTTACCATATGTTATCTTTTTTTTCGTCATCACCTTTGCAATTTTAAAAATAGTAGTGTGTAAAAATCCACGAAAAACCATCTTTCTGTACGCGTATTAAAATTGTTTAAAAGAAAGTAAATTGCGTGAAAATAAGTGGTTTTTCTTAAAGAATTAATAAGACAGGCAAAGAGCTTGAAACAAAATTCTTGAGGAAATTATGGATTGATATTTTAGTCATTCGTCGCGCGTTTATATCAAAAAAAAAAATTCTATCTATATGCGTTTCATAATAAATATGACCAATTATTTTGACGCGTCAATATTTAGATATATGATTTTTTGCTTGCTTTCGTGTTACAAGCTTATACATTGAATTCATTATTGGTTATGGTAAATATACATAAAAATATTTAACTTAATATAACATAATATAAATGCTATAAATAACAGAATAATAAATGCAAAAGATTGAATGCTATGCTTGATCCCTACTTAATCATCTATATAACTCATAATCAACTTACTACGCATTGAAGAAAAATAAGTTTTGTTTTCATTATTCTCATTTCCCAAAACCATTGTCAAAAAGATTTATATTGTTCACGACAAAAAAAATTATAAATTTGCGAATAAAAGAAGCTTGTCGGATCTCAGGGTTTACTTACGCATGCAAAAATATTTTAATATGCGTCTTGGACCATTAAGAATCAAGAATGTGTTATAGTGTTTAGAAATATAAAACAAGTTTTTCAAACTGTAAGGATACGTTACTTTCTCCTAGGAAAAACATCTATGCATCATATATAAACAATCGCCAAGATTGTTTATTTTAGCCTCTTTTGCGATTTGCAGCATCTTTACGCATAAATATGTATTCCCTGCTTGATGTCGTATTTAAATAACACACCAGTAAAGAATGTGTTTTTGCAGGTTGTAAGTAAGAATGTTTTATCCTTACATTAAATTTATGAAATTTTAAGAACTTTAGATGTTCTTTATTCTATGCAATTTACTTTAATTATATATAACGGTAATAGTGTGCAAGGGGTTCTAATGTAATGTTATCTCTACGTTGGTAGGCAAACAGTTCCTACAGCATGTACAGTATAATCATCTGATGTAATAATTGAATTAAAATACTAAATTATCATCATTTTTTATTCTCATTACTAATTAAAAAAAATAATAGTTAATATTTAGCTTATGTATGTATCATATAAGACACCTCACTGACAGAAAACAACACTTGAATATGTAATAAAAATACCCTTCTGACATTTATCATTCTTCAGACATTTTGGGGAATGGACTAGAAAAATCCCTTTCGACAACTAATACCGAAGGGGGGGTTCTCCTAATCCATTCCTAGTTTAAGCAACGATTTGATTATGAAATATAGCAATTTGACTAACCTAACGAGTATCGTTTATATAATAATGTTATATGCCGAGCATCGTTTATATAATAATGTTATCTAACACGTTTTATATAATAATGTTAAATAGCACGGCCTTTGCACCACTTAAAAAAATTAAGAAAAAAGCTTCTTTCACCCGACAGCACAAGGATGTAAGCAAAAATGGGCAGGCAAATTAATTTTTATAAGATTGTAACTTTTGAGCAATTCGTAAATCCTAAAAAATATTAACTCACGAAATTACTACATTAAGTATTCGTATAGAACCACGTGTGCACAATCACGCAGGTCGCGATGTGGTGTAATAAAAGCATACTACAGTTGATGCATTGTATTGGGTTTGGCTTTAAATTTGGGGACTGAACCCGTATCCAGGTTAACCGAATAGATCTCGCTAACTGGGTAAAAACATATTAACCAATCAAATGTGAATACTTTCTTATATAACCAAATTAAATCCGTACGTACCAGTATGTATATAAATCCAAAACCAATTAAATTACAATATTTTGTATAAATTTTATTCGGTTAATTCCGATCTTAGACAGTATTAACGGTAATACTATTATTTTTATATATAGTCCAACCTCCTTAAATGCAGCTCTAGGGACTAGACTTTGAAGCTTGCATTTGGAAAACAATAAGAAAAATTACATTTACGGAGGTCTAGTACAATTAGTGTTTGGAACCGGATTTGACCTTCGGATTTAAATCCGATTTCCTTCGGATTCGATTTAATTTCGGATATAAAACCGAT